ATTTGTCATTCTCCCGAACACAAGTATGTACACGCACCCAAGAGTTGATATATCCAACAATTTAATTTTCAATTATAATATGGCAACTTATTATCTCATGCAATGGCCTTTATAAATTTTTTAAAAAAATGATTACGTAGGAAATAAGGCACCTTTAGTTGATGTTGGTGGTAAATAAATTATTTGCCCTTTAATACAGCAGAAAAAGTACATCCCTAAAGTTGAAAGGACAAAAAATGTGACATGTCTGTTTAGGGCAATAATATTTGGTTCATTTCATTTCACAAATACATGTATATATAATTATATATTGTTTAGCAATTAGCATATATTTTCAATTATTCCTAGAATATTCAACTATATATTCACAGAAATATATAGAGGACTACTTCGATTTTGTTTTAAGACTGCCGACACAGAAATATTTGTTAATAAACCCTGTCATGTTAGTTAATTGTCAAATAAAAATAATTAAATGATCAAATGTTCTAGAGCAAATTAAGTAATTGGTCAGAGTGCTGCAATATTTAATTTTTCAAAATTAATTGTTTATTCTATTTAGGCAGCAAAATTAGGGTTCACTGAAAACTCAGAGTGAGTTATATCTGCTAAATAATTACCATTTGGAATAAGTTAATTAATCATTACAAAAATATTTTATTTATTGTTATTTTTATTTTTTGGTTGAGAAGAAAAGTATTTAACAGATTAAACACCAACATCATTTTTGGCTGATCAGGAAACCACAGGTAGTCCACTGCAAGCTTATAAAAAAATTTGAGGCTCACCTGCTTGAACAATATATTAGAAAGTTTTTTATACATTAGAAAACAAAGATAGTAACACCCGTGTGTCTACTTCTTTAGATTAAAAAGTAAATGATCATATCTTCTTTACTATAGAAATATAATTATTTTCATACTAAAATGTTTAAGGAAACATCATGATTAATAAAAATGTGTGATAAGACATCACATATGTTGAAATGTTGACGTGCGAATCTAGCACGCACGCGCAACGGTATTATATTTCTAAATTTTTTATCAACAACAAAAATTCGGTTATAACTATTTGATATGACCTTCGCGTGAATGATAAATGAAAGCTTACAATGTTTTTAAACATTACTTTTAACTATGGTATCCAGGCAAAACAATTCTTCGATCTTGATGAAGAACCTGATCTGATGAAGAAGCTAGGAATTCTCGATTTAGAAAGTCAAATAGTGTTTGTCTCTCGATCTTGATCTCTCAATCTCTAAAATTTTGTGATCTCTCGATGTCTCTCACTAATTCGATCAAAGACTTTGAAGAAATTACGATGTAATTATAATTAGGTTAAACCTACGTATATGTGCCGTAGGAGACCCCATGACCCAATAGTTAATTAGACTTAATTCAATAATAAGTTAATTAAGTATAAATCTAATTTAAGTTAATGATATATTTTGTATCAAATAGAAAATAACCTCATTACTCATAAGCTAGGTTATCACTAAGAACTCGGGGGCAGTCTCGAGGAGTAATCTTCATCCTCAGGTCGATCTCAACCGACAAGGTCAACCAAGAATCCATCTCGCCTGAATCTGAAGGTTCCTCGCCCAGCGTCACTGCCAGTGACCCTCCTACGTTTGACTCTGGCTTTCGCGATCTCCTATCGGGGCCTCCTCCCATGATCGTCGATACGGTTGGCGAACAGACTTTAAAAGTATTTGACCGAATTTAAAAAAGTTAAAGAAATGGTACTAGCAGAAGAGAACTCAAGAAGTTCGAAATTCGAAAATATACTAACAACTTTGAGCCCTAGAGAAATCACTATTTACTGATGACACTCACAATCTCTCCAATCATTACATCTCGTCCCATTAAGGTGCGAAGCCCAAAAGATATGTCCATATCTGAAAAGACACACCTCCACTCTGATGTGATGTCATCTTTCATTTAATCCTTCAAATTTTAAGAAGTCTTATCCATTTCGTTTCCAGCCAGCATAACCGATATTATGATCGACAATCGTACCAGGAGATTGTCCTCTAAAGTTTGCCCGCGGGTAGCTTCCCAGGCATATCAACAATCCCGTGCACTCCTGAGAATCAGAGGCCTCCTTGTTGTAAATAAAAATTCATATGGACTCTAGACCGGCCTATTTCGAGTGGACAAAATGGATATTGGAAACTTCTCCTATTGGACCTACAAACTTGAGAAAGGAGAGGCCTAGGAAGCATCACTGGCAAGACCTGCCGATCTCACTACGCGACAGTGGGTCCTTCAAAAATACCGATCCGACTCTGTATCTTCCCCTAAAAAATAACGATATCACTTGTGTGCACGCGGAAACATTAAAGCATACTGATAAAGCAATCACTTAGTCTGTTCCATCATCAAAAATAGAGAATTTGCATGGATACATGCGACACAACCTTACACCCTTAGTTGGCCTATAAAATTTATTGAACCTTTACTTTTTTCGTGTATAAATATGACTACTCATGCCCCTCAAAATGATAGAAGAAACACAACAAAAGGCACTATACATACAACACATAATCTCAATATATTTTTCTGGAGAATTCTACTCTTTTTGTTGGTCTTAACTACAAATCGGCTAGCTACCACGGCCCCACCTGGACACCAACGAAGCACCGAGCTGAGAGGAACTGACACATCAGGGGAGGATCTAGCTCATAATATGAGTAGGGCCTACTTGTTTCTAGGAAATAAATATAGTACATAATAACAAAGTATAAATACAAAAATATACATTCATAGAAATTCTCATGAGTTTTCAAAGTTTGGTATGACTCTACAATAAGGTCTTTACATTTTCTTTTGACCTAACAATATTATAATTCACCTTAATTATATTTGGACTAAAAGTAGCCAATTTTGAAATATTTTCACATGCTATATTTTGTGAAGACTATTTATAAAAATATTTCTCCATAATTTGATATAAAAAAATAATTTATCTAATATATCAAACTTTTCAGAGCCCTACAAGTTTATCAATCACACATACATTTAAATATGTTAACAGCCCTTTAAGAAACAACATTCAATTAACTACACGTTTAAATTTTTAATTTCTATATAAAATGTAATAAAAAAAAGTCTAGATTTACTTTCACCAACATTAACAAGAAGAATGATACTTTTCTCATTATCTCTTCTTTCCCTTCTTTGTGTTCCCATTGTTTTTTATTTATTTTTTTATTTTATTAATGGAGTATTAAATTATTTTTTGAGTAGGGTATATGAGATATCATTTTTTTCTCCCAGTGTGGGCCTAGGCCCACACTGGTCCTTCTTTAGCTATGCCCCTGCGACACATCACCCAGAAGACTATAGCAAGCCCCAGTGGTGTCAGAGCCACATGGGTGCAGAACGCCGCCAATGGGAGGGCAGAGACGTTGAAGAAAGTGGGGCATGCGACTAGGAAATAGGGGATATTTTTGGAGAAGAGAGAGAGACTAATTCTCAATGGTGTTTATCACAAGTTACTAGTTGTGTTTGGCTTTATAGCCTTTTTGAGATTGTGGGGTTGCAAGTGAAACGAATTTATGTCGAGCTCATGATACTTATGTATTTATAGAGCGGAGGTTGACGAGTTGATAAATGAGCTTGAGTTTGGCTATTTGATCAATATTAATAAATTGAGCGTAAATCTCGATGTACCAAACTCGAGTCTTAATGAATTGAATTATAAAAAACTTTTATTCGTAATCTTTAACAAGCCGATCTATAAAACTTACATAAAACTTTCAATTTTGTATTTTTGACTTTGACCTGCTAACCCTTTAACTAAACAAGTTACAAGCTCGACTTGCTTATTGTTAGAACGACTGACACACACGCCGCTCTAAAAATCCTCTCTCTACTATGAGAAAAATCTCAAACCTGAAGAAGAAAAGACCTCGTTCTAATCTCGCCTCTTCACCATCACCGCTCCCTTCCGTCTCCGTTGAAGGGACGATTTCAGGATGGTGCCCGTCCGCGCGGCCTTGGCATCGACCTCGGCTCCATTTTGCTGCTCCACCATCTGGTGAGTCCGTGGGTAGCTATGGTCAGCGATTTGGGTGTTCGCCGTTGGCGACAGTCGTCCGTGTGGTGACCGGTGCTAGCACCGACGAAGTCATCTCTCCCAGGGCCGTCCAATTTTTGGGGTTGTGTTGGTCGGATCTCCTTGTGGTGTGTTGGTCATTGGTGCCAGGGAGGTGCTGTGGGAGATGTCGATTGTCAAGTCCTAAGGCTGTCGTCGGTGTGATCTGTTTGGAAGGAGTGTTGGGTTTTGTTGCTTTGGGTTAAGATAGTCATAGTCTACTGAGTTAAGGAGTTTGGAGTTTTTAGATCCAGATAAGGGCTGATTCTAGCTTCTTTAAAGTTATCTTCATTGTCTCTTTTACTGAGGTGGTTGAGTGTCTGTGGCCGATAGTGAGGAGAGCTTTATTGTAGTAATTAAGTGTGTGTTGTTGCTATTTTTTTGTATGTTTCTCTTTTGGGTTCTCATTTTAGTCCAACTGCGTCTAACTTCTAGTCTTCTTTATAGAGTTTTTTGTTGTTATGTGCGTGATTGTACCCTCTTGGTCGTCAGTGTAATTCCAAGGGGGTGGACCCAATCTTAGTAATGACTCTAGTTGTACCCGTTGGCACCTCGAATGTACTCGTTTTGAGTTTCTCAGTTATTAATATAATTATGGTTTGAAAAAAAATACTTAGTTATTGTTGAACAAAAACAAAGATATATAATTTTTTTCATCATGTACTACACGTGTTTTTAGGATTTTCAATATAAAGTATTTTTTTTTTTTGCAAAATGTAATTTGAATTACATAAATATCATTATTTGCACGCCCGTCTATTTTTTGACCATACGATCATCCACTAAAAAAGACACGTGTCTGATCAAGATGTGGACGAGAGTGCAAGTTCATGTTGCAATTTATAAAAAATAAAAATAAAAATACTTTAGTTTAAATCCAAAACCACATATAGTACAAGTTAAAAAAAAAATATTTACCCCAAAAACAATCTGTCTCCATTATCATGTATAGTTGTATGTAGTGTAGTGTTGCCTCCGCAAGAACAGAAACAGATTACCTACAAAAATCCCTCTCTCCATCTCTGCTGTAGTTCGAAGCTCGAACTATGCTCAACGCCTGCATAACTTCAACAATCTCACTAAGAACAAGAGGATCATCATCATCATCCTCTTCTCCATTTTCTCCATATGGCTACTCGCACTGCTCAATCGAATCGCACCCATTTCTCCACTCATCGTCCAGATCGAGCTGCTGCAGCTGCTGCTGTTGCTGCTCCAATCCAATGTACAGATCTCAGGTAAGCCCCAATTACTGCTACAATCTCTACGGATTCAGACAATCCTCCTTAATTCAATGGGCCCCTCACAGAAGGCTGACTGGGGTCAGCCTCGATCGGTGCTACTATACGCGATTGCCCGTTTCCAGTGTTGGGTCCGATTGCTATTGCGATGGGGTTTGCAATTTCAGGGTTAAAAATTCGGGCAGGGTAAGGAAAATGGGTCTGGGTTTGAGTAGACGCATGTTGTTTGATGAAAGTGCTGAGAGGTATGAAGTGGAGGCCGAGGCCGTGCTTAGTTTGCTGGCTGAGGATTTTGACGAGATAGAATGTTCTCGTCCGCTAAAGGGAAAAAGGAAATTACTGAAGAAATCGGCCGTGGAGGAGATGGGTAATGATGAGGTGAGGGGCAAGATTATGGTTAAGAAGAAAATAGTGGAGTTAGGTGTTTTAGAGAGTGAGCCGAGGTGTGAGAAAAGGAAACCTAACGGTATTTTAAGGAAGAAGGATGGTAGAAGGAGAGAGGAAATAGCTTTTAGGGAAGAAAAGGCGGAAAATTTAGCTCGGGAGGGAAATCGAAAAGAACGTGTGGATGGTGTGACAAATGGAAGAGACAGAAAGAATGAAGAAGATGAGGTGTGGATTAGAAAGTCGAGCCAGAGGGTCGGTGAGGAGAAAGGGAGAGAATATATTTTGAGGAAAGAGAATGTGAATGTGAGTTCAAGGAGGGATGATGAGACAGAAGATCTTTCAAGGAGAGAGGAAGATAGGGAGAAGGTGAGGAGGAGAGATGGATCGAGTTGCTCATCGTATTACTCGTTCTCGTCGGCTGGTGATTACGAGAGCGAAAACGAAACTGAGCTCAAAGAAGACGGGTTTTCTGGGGACTTGTCGAATTCGGGCGTTGAAATAGTTCACCAGAAAACTATGAAAGAGGATCAGAGGTATGAGGCTCGTAAAGAAGATCGTGGACGGATTTCGACAAGAAAGAGTACAGAAAAGGATTTCGAGTCTGATTTTAGGAAGAAATCGGAAAAGAAACTTACTGATATATCGGTGGAGGAGGTGGAGTCGAGTAAAAAATCGTTGATGAAGGAGTCGAATTTTTCGAGGGCAAGTGAAATTAATTATGAAAGAGGGTCTGATTACTTTGATGAGCGGAAAGTAAAATCGTTGAGCGAAATCACGAAACCGACTGAAGAGAGAAAACAGAAGCTTCTGCAAATGGGTGATGAAGAGCTAAGGCAATCTGAAACGAGAATGAAATACAAACAGTTTGTGGGAAAGAAAGATACACGTGTTGATGAGGTTAGAAGTTCTTACGGTTCTCAAAAGGGATATACTGTCAAGGGTGAGATGTCTGCTAAAGTTAAGAGTCCGGAAAAAGCTGTAGAACATCAAGCACATCAAGCTGCAGTTGGACTTAGCACAAAAGAGGATAACTACGAAAGAGATTCTTGCAAGATTTCTGAAGTATCAGAAAGTCAAGATATTGATATTCGAAAAACTTCCATTTCCAAGCAAAGGCTCGAAACCAGTGTGAAGGAGGAAGAATACTCGACCAATGTATTTACTTCAACTAATGTTGCTTCAAAGCAACAACGAGATGAACAAGCAAGTTTCTTAGGGGAATCAAGCGGGACATCTCAAAATTTGACCAGTAAAAATGGTAAGTCGATTTTGAAAAGGGAATCAGAGAAGCTTATGAAACAACAAGATAATTTGAACTTAGTCTACGGCTCGTCTTCTGAATCCAAGCAGACACTCTCACAGACACATTCCAAAATTGACAAGACAGTTAATTCCAGAAAAGAATCTGATGAATTCATTATTACACAACCTTTACCATATTTACCTGAAAAAGATGCTACTAATGAAGGTGGATCTACACTGGCTAGCAATGATACTTTTCATGGGCAGACCTCGAAGTTTGTTTCACCTGAAGATGCAATTGAGTCTGCTGCTCGATTAGAGAAATCCTCAGAACACTATCACGGTGAGTTTGTTAGCCAGTTAAGGAGTGAAATAGTGTCTTCTGAAATCCAGAGGGAAAAACAAACGCCCGAAACTAAGGTTTTGCCCAAGGTGCATGACTTAAAGCAAGATGGTCAACCATCTGAGTCAAAGGGGCCTTCGGATGAAATGTGGAAAGAGGACGAACCATCTGCTCAGAAACTACTTAAGCCAGAAATCCAAGATAATTCAATCAAACCTGAAAATGCCATTGTAAAGAGAAGCGGGAAATCATTGTGGAATATTTTTGCCGACATTGTTCGTTTGCGTTGGTCCCCACGTCTGGAAAGGAAAAGCTCGCCTAATCAGTCCACGAGTAGCGAAGCATGGTTTTCTGGTCATGAAGCAGATGAAAATGAAGGGACGAGCATAACACATGATTTGTCTAGCAGGCGTCAAGAAGAAAAAACCCACTTTTTAGTTGGACAAAGTTCCGGCTCATCAACTTCAGAGGGCTATATAAAGAATGGCAGAATAAATGAACCATCTTCTTCATCTGTTCTAGAAACTTCAGGTATAGAAGTTCCTGAAGGAAAGTTTGGGGATACGTCATCCTCAATTTCTTTACCTGCATTAAGGCTTCGAAAGTTTTCTTCTTTGAGAGGAGGTTTAGAGATTAAAGAAGTTAAAGAAGAAAATCCGTCCGAAAGCGATGTGAAAATGGAGAAACAAGAATCATCGGTTAGTGAGGGGGAGGTAAAACAAAAAAGACTTCAGAGAAAAGATCAAATCATGAAAGATAGATTTGATGAGTGGGAAGAAGCATACATGCTTGAAGCAGAGCAGAGAAAAATCGATGAAATGTTTATGAGGGAAGCACTTTTGGAAGCCAAAAAAGCTGCTGACAACTGGGAGGTGCCAGTGGGGGCTGTGCTAGTGCACAATGGAAAGATAATTGCTCGTGGGTGCAATCTGTAAGCAGTCCTTTTTTTTTTTTCTTTTAATTACTGTTATTGCTTTTGTGTGACTTCCTTTTTCTCCTTTGCTTGGAAAATATTATGTTATATATTCTCGTGAAAATTTATAGGGTAGAAGAGATGCGTGACTCGACTGCTCATGCGGAAATCATATGTATACGAGAGGCTTCAAACGTTCTCCGGACATGGAGGCTTTCGGTAATGTCCATGTTTCTGTTCGTTTAACATCATTTTATTTGGTTATCTATGAAACTTTTCCCTTTATTCAGTAAGGAATGATGTTACTCAGCTGCTTCTATCTTAGTTTTGTAACTGCTCATGAAAAAGAAAATTTAGATTGTTGTTGGGTCATGAGACTCATGACCTACATCATTGGATGGATTTTGAACATAAGGAATCCTATTCTCTCTTTATGCTTTTATTTCATGCATTAAGTGGGCAAGTAGATATATTCTACACAGTTAACCTTGCTCATCGACAGGAAACTACTCTCTATATTACACTTGAACCTTGCGCGATGTGTGCTGGAGCAATACTCCAAGCTCGAATAGACACTGTTGTATGGGGAGCTCCTAATAAGCTCCTGGGAGCAGATGGTAGCTGGATTAGGTAAGCAATAAAGATCTTTAGATAAAGTCATTAGCTTTGGAGATTTTCTCGAATATAATCTTTTGCATGTGACTCGTTTTGCCATGTTATGATGTTCTCATAAATGTCAACCTTCTAGTTGAAATGTGCATGTGCTGATTATGACAAAACCCAGATTCATCTTTCGAAATTCCAAATATTCTTGTAACATGTTAATATTGTACAAAATCGCGCCTATTGATTGGGGAGTATATGTGCAACAAATACAAAACTCAAGGGTTGTTTCTGAATTTTAAAAGATAACTGTCCTGTGTTTGTTTATTTGTTTATTTATTTAATGGGATATACCAAACTATCGATGAGGTTTATCCAATTTACTGACAGTGTATAATATCTGGGTATTTTTAATATCTTCGACTTTCATCATGTCACAAATAGTGCCCCGTCTTTTTGTCTGGCTATTCAAAATATTTGAATAGTGATTTTAAGCAAATGTACTAACTCGGCCGAAATTCGCAGGCTTTTCCCTGTTGGTGAAGGAGGAAATAGTGACTTGGACTTAACGAGTAAGCCACCTGCCCCGATTCATCCTTTTCACCCGAAGATAGTCGTGAGACGAGGTGTACTTTCTTCAGAGTGTGCTGATGCAATGCAACAATTTTTTAAGCTAAGGAGAAAGAAGGACAAAAAACCCGATATTGCCACATCACCTCCTTCTTGCCTTCCGATTACACACCGCCCGTCCAGGTTCATGGCCAAGATGCATGATGGTTTTAGCCTCATGTTCTGTTTGTAATGTTTTTTTGTTTTTCTTTTTTGTTCATTTTTCATAAATTAGCTTCGAAGTTATGTCGGTATACGATAAAAAGGATATTTTGTTATGAGATGAGAAGAGATTGTTCTGTTACTGTATAAACTTGTTTGGTTTTAAGTATGGTGATTTTGGAGTTTGCCTGTGAAAAATCATATTTTTCTGCTTCTTTATTGATTGAGAGTTGATACCTAACTACCTAAGTCAGGTGTTTTGCCCTAGTCTTAGTTTTGTTGAAACTGACAATTTGGTTCATTTCCTAGCCAAGAAAAGTTCATTTGTGGTATATTTCATTTTCTCTTCAATCATAAGAAAAGAAAAATTTTGCTTCAAAAATCATGATTGGGCAAATAAAAACCATTGAGCCATGATTNNNNCATCATTTAGTTAGTTATATACACACATCTGCTTACCTGTGTGTGACAGTCACAAATCTGCATTTTGCTTTACCCTAAAGAACCGAGGAAATGATAAAAACAAACCCAACTCATAAATTATGTGATAAAACATGATTAGGAATGATTTGAAATGTAGTCATACACCAAATCAATGATTATTATTTGTTGATAGTAACACAAAATCATACCAAAATGAAAACACAAATACAAGCTACCAATGAGAACCCAACACCTATACATCCAAACAACTTGAACTTTCATCTATTGTATATCACACGTTCACACCATGCATACATGAAAATAAGATTTTTAAGAATTCAAAAATCCTGGTAAATTTTATTTGGACTTGTTAAGACTTTTAAAAGTCTTATTTGTGATTGTGAAAGTTTTACAGAATTATGATATATTTAACTTATTTTAGACTAAAATTTATTAAAACTTTAATATTTCCAGAGATTACTTAAGAAAAAATATATACGAAATTCCACTCAAAATTCCACCTAAGCTTAAGATTTCATAACATTCCTCAATCTGAAAATTTTACACAAACTCAAATCTCAAAGTTTCAAAATATTACTCAAAATCACAAACGAATACACCTCTTAAGATTTCATAGGATTCCTTCTAAATCTAAAAATCTTAAAAAAACTCAAATCTCAAACAGTCTCAAAATACCACTCGATCTCAAACGAACTCGAAATCTCAAACAAATACACCCCATCGTCCACGAACTCAAACAACGATAATACATATAAAT